CCATCAGGACCTGGGCTTTTCTTAGTTGGTAAGTTTTTAATTACATTTTCAATTTCATTGATTCATATTGCATCATTTAGAATTTTTAGGTCTTCTTTGTTCAACTTTGGTAATTTATATGTATCTAGAAATCTATCCATTTCTTCTGTGTTTTCCATCTTATTCCAGCAGATTTAGCATTTCTGTCTTAATATTTAGATTTTTTTTTTTTTTTGGTACCGAGGATCAAACTTCGGTCCTTGTGCTTGCAAGGCAAGTGGCGGAACCATTGAGCTAAATCCCCAACCCCAATATTTAGATGTTTGATCCATTCTGATTTTAGTTTAGTGCATGGTGAAAGATATGGGTCTAGTTTTAATCTTCAGCATGTGGAAAGACAGTTTTCCCAGCACCATTTATTAAAGAGGCTATCTTTCTTCCATTGAACGTGTTTGGCTCCTTTGTCAAAGATAAGGTGGCAGAATGTGTGTGGAGTTGTTTATGCATCTTCTAATCTGTTCCACTGATCATAAGGTCTGTTTTTTGGGGGATTTTTTTGCTAGTACCATGCTGTTTTTATCACAGTACCTTTGTAGTATAATTTAAGTCAGGGATTGTGTTTCCCCTGCCTTGCCTTTGTTGCCCAGAATTGTCTTTGCTATTCTAGGTCTCTTCTGGTTCCAAATGAATTTTAATAGGGATTGTATTAAATCTGTATAACAATTTTGGAAATATGGTCATTTTCATTATATTGGTTCTTTCTACCCAAGAACAAGGGATATCTATTTTCTGATATTCTCTTTGATTGACTTTTTCAGAGTACTGTAGTTTTCAATGTAAAGGTTTTTTACTTCCTTTGTTTGATTCCTAGGTATTTCACTTTTTTCGATGCTATTGTGGAAGGTGTGGTTTCCCTAATTTCCCTCTCAGAGTTTTTTATTTGTATATAGAAATGCTATTGATTTTTGTATGTTGATTTTGTATCCAGCTACACTACTGAATTTGGTTGTTAAGTCTAAAAGTCTTTTGGTGGAGTTTTTGGGATCTTCTATGTAAAGTATCATGTCATCCACAAATAATGATAATTTAACTTCTTTTCCTATCCTTATTCCTTTTAACAAAACAGATTATATCTTAAGTCATAAAGCACGCTTAATTAATTACAATCAGATCATAATGGAATGAAACTAGAAATCAACAGCAAAAGAGATCAGAAAACTATGCACACATATGGAGATTAAATAGTACATTCTTGAATAATCAATGAGTCGTAGAAGAATTCAGGGAAGAAATAAAAAAGTTCTTAGAATCAAACAATAGTGGAAGCACACCATACCAAAATCTATGGGATACTATTCTTTTTATTGGTACATTTTAGGTATACAATATAATGACATTCACCATTGGAAATTTGCACCTT